ATATTATCTCCGACATATATAAATATATAAAATATATGAAAAATTGATGTGGGTACTCAAATGGAAGGTCTCGACGAGTGTAACATCAGGATGAGCTTATATCTTTAAAAATGTCAAGCGTTCTCAAGATACAAGGTCATTTCTTCTAAAAGCGCCTTTTATCGATTGGAAAAATAAAATTAAATCTTATATAGTCGTCATCGCAAATAGGATTATCCACCCTTCAAGTTGCGCAATAGCTCCAGTGACCTCGGGGACAGACGGCTTAATTAAAATTAAAAAGAAAGAGTCAATTACCTCGGTAAATTGAGTAGAACAAATACAGTACTAATTAATAACAGCATTTTAGTAATACTCTGTTGGTTTCTGGTGGTAGCTAAATTTTTCGAGGATGATCTAATGTCTGTAATTAAGTTGTACTAATTAATGATTAACAATTAATTAATTATTAAATGATACTTACGGATACATTTAGCTGGAGTAAATTCGGGGAGCTGATAAGTGCTACGCATCATAGAAGTTGAAGCAACGGGTGGTGTTTGAGTCACCGGCAAGTTGGGTAATGTTGGAAGTTGTACAGGCTGCCCTCCGACATTGATACTAGCTCCTGAGCCGGCGGGGGCACCCCCGCCGGCTCCCGTTGATCCGATACCTGATGAATGGTGGGATTGATTGTTTTTTGATGAATGAAATGATTGTTGTGACGGGGCTCTTCTCGTTCCAAGAACTATACCGCTGTGACTGCTACTCCCGCTCTGTTAATCAATTTATAAATAAATTTCAAGTGAGTAAATAAATAAATATATTTATATCTTTATTTAATTTTTAATCATCTGTGTAAACTTTTGGTATTTTTAAGCTTACCTAAGGAATTTTAAGGAGTATATTGTATTTATATATTTATAAATAGTTAAGGTGGGTTATATTTAACGAGAGGTAAATTATTCCACGCACAATGAACTTTCAAGGTTGATTTTAATTAGCTTTATTTTTGAGATTTTTAACGAGAATATTCAAACCATTTTTGTGGAATAAAATGAAAAGAATTTAATTAAATTATAAATAGATAGATTTATTACTTAAAAAGGAATATTTTTGTGATTTTTTTGCGACGACTCAGTTAAAGTCTCTCTATTAAAACTAATGGTACAGTGAAATATGACATTCGAAGAAGATTATATAAAATTTTCACGAAGAAATTTATTAAAAAAAAAATTTTGAAAATCTAAAAGTGCACGCCTCATAACGCTCATTTATTTTTTAAGAAAACAAATCGAGTTTTCATCAAATCTCGACGTTTTAAGGTCATAGGAAGCTTCCCTGACTACCCCCGCGGTGGTGTCTGTATGTCTGTGTGTGTGTGTGTGTGTGTGTGTGTGTGTGTGTGTGTGTGTGTGTGTGTGTGTGTGTGTGTGTGTGGATGTATGTAAACCTCTCATAACTTTTAAACGGCTTGACCGATTTGATCGCGGTTGGTGCCATTCGAAAGGGCTTGACCAAACTTAGATTTCCAATACACTTTAGACCGATTCGGACCGGTAGATTTTGAGAAATCGCAAAAAAACTACAAAAAAAAATTTTTTCAAAAGTGGTTTTTTTGGAATAACTTTTAAACGGCTTTACCGATCAATTTCAAAAACTAATCAACTCTTAACATCAAAAAACTACGTTGATCGCCGCCAGTTCGGTCAAAATCGGTTAATTCGTTCGTGAGTTATCGTTGACGAAAGAAAACCGAAAAAAGCGTTTTTTCGAAATTACTCCGAATTTTTCCACTCTGTCAATATAAACTCAAAGATTTTCCATGAGGCTTAAAAAACTGCGTCGAATGCCACCAACCGCGTGAAAATCAGGTCATTCATTCAAAAGTTATTGCGATTTAAACTTTTGAGCTCAAAAGCATACAAAAGCTATTTTTTGAGCACGGAGAGCTCAAAATAATACACAAATTGTATTTATGAGCTCGAAGAGCTCTAAAACGTCATAAGTGCAATTTCAAGCGTACGTAAAATTTTTTTCAAAATGTTTTTTTTTTTTTTAAAATAGCACCATGAAATGATTTTAGAAAGTAAAAGATGGTTTAATTTAAGTGTTTTCTCGGTGTACATCTACTTATATTATTGTATAAGTGTAATATGGTTGTGATAGAGGCATTTAAAGATC